TTGGGGGGGGGGGGATTAATGGGAGGGAGACTATCATCTTCGAACCAGACACTTCGTATAATCTCAATTAAACTTCGCCCGCCTTCGGCGAGCTCGTTTGATCCTACAATTATACTACATGTCTCATTCTCGATGATAATATTTTAGTCTTTCAGAGCTGAGTGACAATTCCTACTTTCTGTTACACATGTTATTATTCAGAAATAGAATTAATGCAGACAACAAGAAAAAATAATCTGACGAAAAAACAAGAACAATTAGAGAAATATTTTCTTTTACTTATTCAGTATTGTCTGCGCAAATTGCTCATTGGAACACTGGATGGGTTTGTTATAAAATTTAAAAAACATTTGGGAGCTTGGCGTCCATCCGGCGCAACGCCTTATAACCGTAATATCAACGCGTCGTTTATGGGCAGTAGATACTGCTGCGTGACGTGTAGTATATGCTGTGAATGTTTGAGTATCCACACCCACTTTTCCTAATAATGTTTTCACCCAATGGCCAATTGTTTGCGATGAAGCCGCCCCAAAGGGTTTTACTGTTGCAAGAAATAAATTTTTGACATTTTTATCCCTCAGCTTTTGGGCGCAATCCATGTAATCTGAAACGGCAGAAGCTACACACAGGGCTGGCGTTTCCTTGAAAAATGGCAGAATCAACTCCGGTTGCCAGGCACCTGGCTTTGACGTTTTTATCTGATCAGTTATTTTAACACTTATTCCTGTTTCTGATTTTATTATATTATCAATGTTTATCGAAGCTAGTGTCTGGAGCCTCTGCGCCGTTGTTATAGCTAATAAAGTTGCCACCTTTTCAGCTGCCTCTTTTAACTTCAGTCGTCTGAGTGGATGCATTCCTTCCATGAAGCTCAGTACAGGAGTGACATCCCGTGCTGTGGAGTATTTTGGTTTTGTTGAGCGTTCTTTCAAAACTCCCTTAAAGAAACGCGCAATCAATCCATCCTCATTAATGTCATATGCTGATATTAACGAAATTGCAGAACGCGCAGTGTTCAGTGTACTGTACTTTGCACCATCCTTGAAACACTTATTTAAGAAGATTATAATATCTGCTGACTTCGCATTGAATGTATCTATTCCCCTTGCATGCGTGTATTCCCACCAGTATCTCCAATTGCACTCGTACTGCTTCAGTGTCGATTGACTAATCGACGACGTCATCATATCTACAGCATCTACTGCTACTCCTTTCTTCGAATACGCTGTCCTGACAATTTGCCAGCCACTAGTGAAAGGTCGGATGCTAGTGGTTGGCTCTTGCTTCTGCAAGGAGACAATAATAATGAATTATTAGGTTTAAATTCAATTACAGATTCGACGAGAAGTGACTTAAACAGAGAGTACCATGCCTGAGTTGGCCATAAAAGTACTACGACAATTCCTATTGCCTTATCAATAACTATCTTTCGCAATGTACGTAGAATGAGTGCAAAGGGAGGAAAGGCATAAAACCGATCACCGCTCCATGACATTGTAAATTCGTCCACGGCTTTCGCCTCTGAATCCGGAAATCGTGAATAGAACATTTCACACTTATTATTTAATCTTGTAGCAAATAAATCCACTGAAAAAAGCCCAAAATGTCGTTCAATTTGATTGAAAACAGTCTGGGAGAGTTCCCATTCTGTATCCATATTTAACCTTCGTGATGCCCTGTCAGCCTCCACATTATCAGCAGAGGGTATATAGGAAGAGTAGTATAAGTATGGGACTTTTGGATACAGATTCCTGCACCGACATAATACCGACACTCCAGAGCCTTCGAAGGTGGGTGTCCATGCTAAGTTACCGTCGTGAGCTGTATCATTTCTGGAAGTGACGTCATCAGGACCCCTTGTTTCCAAGAATTTTCGCTCGATTCCGGGAATTTTGCGCTCGATTCTAGGAATTACGCACGATCGAGAACCTTCTAGAACATTCTAGAACCTTCTAGAATATTCTGGAAGCTTCGACGGTTCGTGTCCGTGGTAAGTCGGGAAGGATCGCTCGCAGAGCCGGCGGTCCTCTCCCGCGACGTTTCGAGACAGCCCCTTGCTCCCCACCACGGAAAGCCTTCCAGAAGCTTCGATGGACCCGTGCACGTTTGTGCAGGTTTCGGACGTCAGCCCTCAGCCCGTTTGACCTTGAACGTTATCTCGCAGAATTGCGCAGCATCGCTGATGCAGTCCTGCAGGAATTTTCCAGAACTTTTATCCGTAACTTCATCGCGCAGGCTAGTGGGTAGCATCGGTGAATCAGAGAGAGAGACGAGCGGCATCCCCTTTGAGGGAGAGAGAGAGAGAGAGAGAGAGAGAGAGAGAGAGAGGGAGAGAGAGAGGAGGACGACGAGGAGGACGACGAGGAGGACGACGACGAGGACGACGACGAGGACGACGACGAGGACGACGACGACGACGAGGATGACGACGAGGACGACGACGACGACGACGACGACGACGACGACGACGACGACGACGAGGACGACGACGAGGACGAGGACGAGGACGAGGACGAGGACGACGACGAGGACGACGACGACGACGACGACGACGACGACAGAATTGAAATAAAATCATCTATCTCGCCATCTCAATACGCCCTGATCTCGTAC